AGTTATTTAAATTTTTTATTATGGTTTTTAGGGTTAGGGGGTTATTATTTTTAGTGTATTTTATGTTGGTGTTATTTTGGGGGTTGGGAAAGTCTTATTTATTGTTTTTATTTTATTTTTTTTTTTATTTGTTTGTTTTTTGGTATGGCGATTTAAAGTTTATGTATTTTATATTTTATTAGGGGTTTATTATTTTATTTATAGTTTTTAGTTTTATTTTTGGTTTATTTTTTTATTATGGTTTATTATTTTAAATTATCGAGTTATTTTATGTGGGGTTTTTTTGTGTATTTATATTTTATTATTTTTATTATTTTATTATTTGGGGGGTTTATGTATTTTATTATTTTGGTTATGTATGGGTTTATTTTTTATTATTTTAAATATTTTTTTATTTTATGTATTATTTATTAAAATTTTAGTTAGTGGTTTTTTATTTTATTTTTTTTATTATTTTTTTAAAATTTATTGTTATTTTTTTGGTTAGTTTTATTTTATTGGTTTTTTATTATTTTATTAAATTTTTTTATTATTTTATGTATTTTGTGTATTTTATTTTTTTTAATTTTTATTATTTAGTTATTTATTATTTATTATGGTTTATTTTTTTATTATTGGGTTTATTGAATTTTTTTATTATTTTATTTATTTTAGTTATTTTATTATTTTTTATTATTTTGGGTTTATTAAATTTTATTATTTTGTTTTTATTATTTTTTTTATTATTGTAATTTTTTTTTATTATTTTTATTATTTTATTATTTTTTTATTTTTTATTAATTTTTTTTTTATTGTTATTTTTTGTTTTTTTATTTTATAGTTTTTTTATTAGGGGTTTATTATTTTATTTTTTGGGGGTTTATTTTTTTTAGTATAGTTTTAGTTATTTTATTATTTTATGTTATTTTTTAGTTTTGGTTTAATTATTTTATTATTTTTTTATTAGTTTTAAAATTATTTTTTTGTTATGTATTTTTTTTATTATTTTGGTATTTATTTTTTTAAAATTTATTTTTTTAGTTTTTTATTTTTTTTTAATTGTTATTAAAATTTTTGTTATGTATTTTTTAAAAAATAAATGGTTTTAAAATTTATTAGGGTTTATAAATTTGTTAAATTAAATTTTTTTTAAATTTTATTAAAAAAATATTTTTATTATTTTGGTTTGTTTTTAGGGGTTAGTAAATTTTTTAAAATTTTTTATTTTTTTAAAATTTATTTTTTATTTTATTATTTTGGTTTAAAATTTAAAATTTTATTTGGGTTTGGGTTTATTTAAAGTTAAAAAAAATTTTTTAAAGTTAAATTAGAAAGGATTTGGGGGTTTTATTATTTTATTAGGGTTTTTTTATAAAAATTTTTAAAATTGTTAAAATTTTTTAAATTTTTTATTATTTAAAAAATTTTTTTAAAAATATGGGTTTTTGGGGGGGAAATTAAATTTAAAATGATTTTATTAAAAGGGGTAATTTTTTTTTATTTTAAATTATTTTTTCTTATTTTTTTAAAAAGTTTTTTTAGGGTTTTTATTTATTTTTTTAATTTTTAAAAACCACAAATTTTGGGTTCCGGGCCCCAACCGCCCGGCCCCGCCCCCCTTTCGACCACTACCCCCTCCCTTCCCATACACCCCCAAACAAAGTTAGGTTTCCGCCCCAACCCCGCAACTACCCTTTTCCACACCAGACGAAGAAAAAATTTTTCCAACACCCCTTTACTCTTGAGCTTCAACTTCCAACGTGACCTCTTGTTTCTGTGTACCCCTCGGGGAACATCCCCTCGTCCCCTTCCCCTATTCCACGAAATATTTTTGATGCGTTTTTTTGTCTCTCCTAACCCCCTGTTTCCAGTTTCGTGGGCCGATTTCCCTAACTTTTTTGTACGACACCCCCTTAGCCTAATTAACCTTGTCGCAATCCTTTCACTTTCTCAAATTTTCTTGAGTGTTTGATCAAGTGGGGTTTTCCCAAACTGGTGTGAAACCCAGTAGGGCCGAGACACGGTGTACATTCTTGAACTTTCCTTTTACTAAGGTATCGGAAAACGCTATTCTCGGGAAAAAAGGTAACACTGGTTTAAATGCCCAAAATTTTTTAAAAGGGGGTGGACGGTAACCCAGCGAAGGCCTCGGCAGTGCCCAAAAGCTCCAAAGGGGGCACATTGACTAAGACCCGCTCGGAAACATTTGCCGTTTCCGACAAACCTTACCAAACCCAACGTTTTCTCAGGTTTGCCAGGCCCCCATATGCGCAGCAGTTATCTGGTTGATGGTGCCTGCGGGACGTGCTCGGTGTTAACTACCCCAAATCTTTCTCTTGAGCGAGTTTTTGCAGTCTTTGGCCCCCTAGCCTTTTCCCCTGTCAGGGTTTTTTTGCCCTTCCCTATCTTCATGACTTTGCTTTTTGGGGGGGTTTAAATTCGAGAAGCCGTTGCGGGACCACGTGTCCACCTGTCTAGGTCTCTTGAATCCTGCCTGACCCTCATCTGATTTAATTCTTCTCTTAATTCACATCATCTGAGAACAGGGACCTTCTGATTCATCTCTTCCATCGTCTTCCATATACGAAAAATAGCATGGTTCTGGACCGACCCCTGGGGATCCCATAGTCACGGGTGCCCACTGTGATCCTCTCCTCCCTGACTCGTTTTGCCTCCCTGTCAGGTATTCCTGATCCTTTGCAGTGCCTTCCCTCTAGCTTCTGCATAGTCTCTTGTGAGGAACTGGTAAAAGGGCCTTCTTGCTTTCCCAAAAAAAGGGCATCAACCACCCCCTCTCTCGTGCTTATTTCTGTTACTTTATAAAAAATCCAAAAAAGGTTTGTGACAAAAGGATTTCCCTTCCATAAACCCCTGCTGGTTGTCGTTCATACTCTTGTTCCGTTCCAGGTGCTCCACCACTCTCCACCTGATAATCTTTTCCATGACTTTGCGTACTATACACGTCTATAGTTTAATGCCTCTTTTCTGTCTCCTTTTTAAAAAATGGGAACTACATTTGTAGTCTTCCATACCTCAGGTAGTTGTCCAGTTTCAAGCGATGTGTTGAAGATTGTAATTAGTGGCACACACAGCATTTTTGCTCCCTCTCTAAGGATTCACGGGGAGATGTTGTCCAGTCCCATTGCCTTTGAGGTATCAAGGTCCCTTAGCAGATGCTTCACCTCCTCCTCAGTTGTGTGAATGTCATCCAACACTTGCTGGTATATTCCTTGTTGGTGTCCCCCTCTGTTCTGTCTTCCCAAAGTCCTTCCTGTCTCCACTGTAAATACTTCCTTAAATCTCGTGCTGAGCTCCTCACATACCTCTTGATCGTTTCTTGTGAGTTCCCCACTTTCTTTCCTCAGTCTGATCACCTGGTCTTTGACTGTTGTCTTTCTCCTAATGTGGCTATACAGCGGTTTGGGTCAGACTTGACTTTCGATGCTTTGTCGTTTTACTACAGTCGCTGAGCCTCCCTCCTTATCTGTGCATACTCGTTTCTGGCTCTTCGACTAATCTCTTTATTTTCCTGGGTCCTTTGCCTCCTGTACCTTTCCCATTCTCTGGTGCACTTCGTTTTTGCCTCCCTACACCTTCGGGTAAACCATGGACTCGCTTTGGTCTTCCCATTATTTCTATTGCCTTTGGGAACAAACCTTTCCTCTACCTCCTTCCATTTTGTTGTTACATATTCCATAATCTCGTTTACTGACTTTCCTACCAGTTCTGCGTCCCACTGAAATTCCTGCAGGAAGTTCCTCATACCTTTGTAGTCCCCCCTTTCATAGTTTGGCTTTTCCCATTCAGTTCCTGTTACCCTTTTCACTTGCAACTCTACTATATAGTCAAAACTCAGAACCACATGATCACTAGCTCCAAGGGGCCTCTCATATGTGATGTCCTCAATGTCCGAACTGCTCAGGGTGAACACAAGGTCCAGTATTGCTTTTTCATCCTCCCCTCTCTCTCTGGTAGTGTCCCTGACATGTTGATGCATGAGGTTTTCCAGTACCACATCCATCATCTTGGCTCTCCATGTTTCGGGACCCCCATGTGGCTCCAGGTTTTCCCAATCCATCTCCCTGTGGTTGAAATCGCCCATAACCAGTAACTTTGCTCTGCTCGAGTAAGCTCTTCTTGCCACCTCAGCCAGTGTGTCCACCATCACTCGGTTGTTCTCTTCGTATTCCTCTCTTAGCCTTCTGCAGTTCTGTGGTGGGTTATACATCACTCCAATGACTACCTTATGTTCCCCAGACTGAATTGTACCTACTATGTGGTCCCTTTCTCCTATTTCGTCCATGCCTTCCAATTCCTCAAATCCCCATCGGTTTTTTATGAGCAGTGCAACCCCTCCTTCCCCTCTACTCCTTCTGTCTTTCCTCAGGATCTGTGTTAGTGTAGTGGTGTTGGTGCTACTGTAGTAGTGCTGGAGTTAGTGTAGTGGTGTTGGTGCTAGTGTAGTAGTGTTGGAGTTACTGTAGTGGTGTTGGTGCTAGTGTAGTGGTGTTGGTGGTAATTTAGTGGTGATGACTATGGTGTAATGTTGGTTTTTAGTTTGGTATTTCTTAGAGTACTCTATGATGGGCGTGTGATGGGCAGAAGTTATAGGCAACGGTAATGGGCAAGTGTGGTGAAGAAAAGTGATGGGAAATATGGGCAAGTGTGGACAAGAGTTGTAGGAAAGGGTAATGGACAAGCGTGATGGGCCAGCGATGGGTCATTGTGACAGGAAAGGGTAATGTATATAACTACGGAGGAATTGTATGTCTGGTATACACTACCTATACATTTGCAACATCTGGGTATATTTATTGTAGACGTCTACAATAAAGATACCCAGATGTTACACATGTGTCTAGTTCCTCACCTTGTCGGTAGTGTATATTATACATATACAACTTGTCAGACTCTGCAACATCATTGAATCTTGGTTCTCACGTCTATGTTATAGACACCCAGATGTTGCACACACGAAGGAATTAAAGCTACAATGAGAGATAAGTTTTATTTAGCCTAACTACATTTTGTCAGATTCTTTAGGTTATTGTCTTACCAAATCAACAGTCTGTCTTTGGTTTAGAAATACACGTAATTAAACACGAGGACATATTTGCTTACACGTAAGATTACTTGTTTATCTAAACCAAACCAACTTGTCGGTATTTATTAATAAGGCTTATAATACACTCGTACACAGGAAATACGTTTTGTGCAGGACGACACGCTCATACGTACAGAAAAACCCTCATATACACTACTACATGGAGGATATTCCGGGGATCAATGCCCCCGCGGCCCGGTCCACGACCAGGCCTCCCGGTGGTTCAGGGCCTGATCAACCAGGCTGTTACTGCTGGCCGCACGTAGACCAACGTACGAACTACAGCCCGGCTGATCTGGCATAGACTTTAAGTATCTGTCCAGCTCCCTCTTGAGGGCTGCCAGGGGTCTGGCGGGAGGCTGTTGAACAGTCTACTCATTCATATGTACAGGAAGTATCTCTGTCAGAAGGATTTTTGGACTAATTACCCCTTTCCAAGGCTGAGGGACTGATCATCTGTTTCTAAGGCTTAGGGACTGATCACTTTTTTCCAAGGTTGAGGGGCTGATCACCTCAAACTACTTCACGTCTTCCACCCTCTCCAGTATTATTCTCCGTATTGGACTGATGAACCCACCGGTTGGTAAAGCGTCTCCAAAACACATATATCTAAGTGTCTAGGAAGTCCATCATGTTATGTTGGTCTACACACTTACACGTACAAGAATGCCCTCATGTATAAGTCAACATGGCTGTTGTTGTGGACAGGCTGCCCCGCGCCCTTCGCAGCAAGTTTACCAACCAGCGTGAGAAACTCCTGGACGCCCCTGCCTGGCCGCCAGGGCATGGGGCTGCTCCAGTCGTAGGAAGCCAAGCGGGAGTAATCCGGTGGGAAGGAGAAAGAGTCGTAACCCAGGAACTTGGCTTGGTGGTAGTAGCAGCGGGGGCAGAGTTTCAGGTAGTCTGGGAAGTGAACAACCCAGGCGGTGAGGGAGTCCAGGTAGAGCTGCCTCTTGCTGTCCTTGTTCGTAGTCAGAGAGGAAACATAAAATAAACTTTATTCCAGAAGTCTATAATTGATATCTAGAATAAACGTATTCAGTAATTTAACATGTGACTCACCTGACAAGCTACTCACCTGACAAGCTACTCACCTGACAAGCAACTCACCTGAGAAGCGACTCACCTGACAAGCAACTCACCTGACAAGCAACTCACCTGACAAGCAACTCACCTGAGAAGCGACTCACCTTACAAGCTACTCACCTGACAAGCAACTCACCTGACAAGTAACTCACCTGACAAGTAACTCACCTGAGAAGCGACTCACCTGACAAGCAACTCACCTGACAAGCAACTCACCTGACAAGTAACTCACCTGACAAGCAACTCACCTGAGAAGCGACTCACCTGACAAGCAACTCACCTGACAAGCAACTCACCTGACAAGCAACTCACCTGACAAGCTACTCACCTGACTAGTGATTCACCTGATAAGCAACTCAACTGACAAACAACTCACCTGACAAGCAACTCACCTGACAAGCAACTCACCTGACAAGCAACTCACCTGACAAGCAACTCACCTGACAAGCTACTCACCTGACTAGTGATTCACCTGATAAGCAACTCACCTGACAAGCAACTCACCTGACAAGCAACTCACCTAACAAGCTACTCACCTGACAAGCAACTCACCTGACAAGCTACTCACCTGACTAGTGATTCACCTGATAAGCAACTCACCTGACAAGCAGCTCACCTGACAAGCTACTCACCTGACAAGCAACTCACCTGACAAGCAACTCACCTGACAAGCAACTCACCTGACAAGCTACTCACCTGACTAGTGATTCACCTGATAAGCAACTCAACTGACAAGCAACTCACCTGGCAAGCTACTCACCTGACTAGTGACTCACCTGATAAGCAACTCACCTGACAAGCAGCTCACCTGACAAGCTACTCACCTGACAAGCAACTCACCTGACAAGCAACTCACCTGACAAGCAACTCACCTGACAAGCTACTCACCTGACTAGTGATTCACCTGATAAGCAACTCACCTGACAAGCAGCTCACCTGACAAGCTACTCACCTGACAAGCAACTCACCTGACAAGCAACTCACCTGACAAGCAACTCACCTGACAAGCTACTCACCTGACAAGCTACTCACCTGACTAGTGATTCACCTGATAAGCAACTCACCTGACAAGCAACTCACCTGACAAGCGATTCACCTGACAAGCAACTCACCTGACAAGCAAAATCGCTGACAAGCGAAATCACCTGACTAGTGATTCACCTGACAAAACAACTCACCTGACAAGCGATTTCACCTGACAAGCAACTCACCTGGGCAAGCAACTCGCCTGACAACGACTCACCTGACTAGTGATTCACCTGACAAGCAACTCACCTGACAAGCGATTCACCTGACAAGCAACTCACCTGACAAGCAACTCGCCTGACAAGCGACTCACCTGACTAGTGATTCACCTGACAAGCAACTCACCTGACAAGCGATTCACCTGACAAGCAACTCACCTGACAAGCAACTCGCCTGACAAGCGACTCACCTGACTAGTGATTCACCTGACAAGCAACTCACCTGACAAGCGATTCATTCACCTGACAAGCAACTCACCTGACAAGAAAACTCGCCTGACAAGCGACTCACCTAAACTAGTGATTCACCTGACAAGCAACTCACCTGACAAGCGATTCACCTGACAAGCAACTCACCTGACAAGCAACTCACCTGACAAGCAACTCACCTGACAAGCTACTCACCTGACAAGCTACTCACCTGACTAGTGATTCACCTGATAAGCAACTCACCTGACAAGCAACTCACCTGACAAGCGATTCACCTGACAAGCAACTCACCTGACAAGCAACTCGCCTGACAAGCGACTCACCTGACTAGTGATTCACCTGACAAGCAACTCACCTGACAAGCGATTCACCTGACAAAGCAACTCACCTGACAAGCAACTCGCCTGACAAGCGACTCACCTGACTAGTGATTCACCTGACAAGCAACTCACCTGACAAGCGATTCACCTGACAAGCAACTCACCTGACAAGCAACTCGCCTGACAAGCGACTCACCTGACTAGTGATTCACCTGACAAGCAACTCACCTGACAAGCGATTCACCTGACAAGCAACTCACCTGACAAGCAACTCGCCTGACAAGCGACTCACCTGACTAGTGATTCACCTGACAAGCAACTCACCTGACAAGCGATTCACCTGACAAGCAACTCACCTGACAAGCAACTCGCCTGACAAGCGACTCACCTGACTAGTGATTCACCTGACAAGCAACTCACCTGACAACAATTTTGATTTGCTCATAAGGTTCACCTTGAGACGAAGACACCTGTGTGTAGGTGGTGGTGAAGGACCGCCTCGTCCCACTCCACCTCCAGGAACTCCAACACCCTCTCCAGCGTCTTCCTGAAACACCCACCACGTTACACTATATCTCCAAAACGTTAATGTATCTCTTTGCGAGATACATTAACTTAATGTGTTTCGCAGTACAAAGGTGATGCATCAGAACACTCACAATCAATCTTCATAACATCAACATTTGTTAATCTAATCACTGGATGTATGATCCTTTGGGTTGAGGCCTCAAACTGACTAATAATATTAATAATATTAATAATAATAATAATAATAATAATAATAATAATAATAATAATAATAATATCAATAATAATATCAATAATAATAATAATAATATTATTATTATTATTATTATTATTATTAGTAGTAGTAGTAGTAGTAGTAGTAGTAGTAGTAGTAGTAGTAGTAGTAGTAATAATAATAATAATAATAATAATAATAATAATAATAATATAATAATATGATCGTTGGAGCTTAATTTCACCTGTGAAAGCATAAAACATTTTTGAAGCACATGTCTAGAGCGCATCAACACCATGCCCAGCCCTTCTAGGGTAGGGTAGGTGCCTGAGCCCGAGCTTGCAGCTCACAAGACTGTCATTTCCATCAGGCCCCTTGGGGCGGGGATGGCAGACCAGAGAGGCCTAGCCACAAGCTAGGCCTGGGGACAGTTGGTCCCAAAGATGAGGAAGTTACTTGTGCCTCCTCCCATGGGAGACTTAGGTCTCAGCCGCTCCCTAAAGAGGGAGCCAAGGCCGGGCCACCACTTGGAAAAGGCCCGGGCCGGGAGAATACCGGCGAATCTTTAATAATAATAATAATAATAATGTCTAGAGCGTCGTGGAGGATAATATACCTGGTTGGAACTTGTTCCACTATGAGTTATGACCTAGGAGTGAGACCCTTGTTCAGGAGGAAAATATGGAGTCTGTTAGACACGTAAGGAAGTTTCCTGCCTGCTGCCTTAGAGGACCTACAGTCGAATGACATGGGCAGTAAAACTGTGGACACTACCTGCCACAATCAGTCTCCTTCAGATAATGATGAGGACTTCCTGGACAGCTACAACACAGTAAGAGAAAAGAAAAGTGGCACAGACATTTCTCGAAAACCCACCCTCTAATCCTGTAATTAAGGTAGGCCTTTAACAATTCACTTTTGAAAACTTTCTTCATAAACTTCCAAGAGGATCCTTAGGCCCATACATTAATTAACACACTGTCGGGTTGCAATTACGCCATTTATAGCGACTCCAAAAGTGCTATCCTTGCTTTTACATATTTCAGAATCGGGAATGAGATTGCTTATATATCCTAGCCTCATTCTCTTACATAAACACCAATTCAAAGAATATATCAGTTCGTGAATTACCTGCACACTGCAGAATTATACACGGTGAAATACATGATGAGCTTTTCAAGGAAATGGATAATTCAACACTCATTACACAACTTTAAATTCCACATATAGCACGCAAAGGAGAACAGACGGAGCTGGAACAACACAAGAGTCATTCCACATTACAACTCGTGCAGCATTCAGAGAAGAAATCTCTAAGATGAAAAAACTCTTGGTAAAACTCAGCCCACCAAGTCCAGCTTACAATAAGCCAGTGATAGCGTCTTCTGCGGCTTGCTTTAGGGTCACCCTACCTTCACTTGTCCTTTGACGCACTGTCTTGTCTCAACACCCACCACAGTGCCGGCACTAGTGACCGGCTTATCTTACGATTAAGATCCATGTCAGGTTGCTGTTTTCTCCGACGAATAAAAATAGTACGAGACTAGTTCACCTTTGCCTGGTTTCCGTATATCCTTCTGACCTGGGCTTGAGAACACTAGTTGACCTGTCTAGGTGTGAACTGGGATCTGAGGTTGATACGTGATTAGGACCTGGCTTAAAAATATCATTCTAATGTGGCTGAAGTATATCACGCTGACCTGGCTTAGGTACATCCCTCTGATCCGTCTTAGGTCCCTCCTCTGACCTGGCTTAGGTACTTTCTTTGCCCTGGGGTTGAGAACAAGAGCTTCATAGTGGACAGGGAGGCAGTGGTGAGGACCCAGCATCCTGCACTCTCTCCTCAGCAACATTAGCAGGTCTTCCAACATCCTCAGTCCTTCTTCCACACTTCTCAAGCGTCGCCCCCATAAATGGCACTGCAAAAACAAATATCAGATAGAACACTGTAAGGAAGACGATGGGTGCCAGCAGGGACCGAGTGCTGCAAGAGTGTTAGCAAGTGTAAGTAACTGTGCCATTTTTACTAATGCAGTTTTTTACCTATGCCATTTCTGTCGCTTTTATCGGTGCTCTTTTTAGTTTTTGAAATGTTACTTAAGATAGAGTAGGACCTGCCTAGTAAGGGCCCGTAAGGTTACTTTGTGAGGAGGAAATAACATTGTGATGGTAAATATATCCCCCGAGGCGGACTTGAGGAGCTTGTCCACTTTTTTTCTTCTTCCAACTCTTAGTTTTTATTTTGCTCATAACTCAAGAACGTATCATCCAGTCAGCTTCAACGTCTGTCCACGGTCACTTGAGACAGTCTGGCAACACTGGCAGGCGCCCGCTGACAACACTTGTTGACACCATTCCCAGCAGCAATACTAAAATTTAGATTAGTATCTACATTTGTTCTTGGCCAACATTCGTAAGAACCTCCACAAATGTTGTACCGAATTGTCTTGCTAAAAAACCCCCAACAAGTTTTTTTTTTTAAATTCCAGCGCGCGCACACACACACACACACACACACACGCACAACACACACACACAACACACACAACACACACACACACACCACACACACACACCACGCACACACACACACGCACACACACACGCCAACAACACACGCGCGCGCGCACACACACACACACACACACACACACACACACTGGGCAAATACCTGAGGTATGGAAGACGGCAAATGTAGTTCCCATTTTTAAAAAAGGAGACAGAAAAGAGGCACTAAACTATAGACCTGTGTCATTGACGTGAATAGTATGCAAAATTATGGAGAAGATTATCAGGAGGAGAGTGGTGGAGCACCTGGAATGGAACAAGAGTATAAATGATTGAGACACTTATGCAGCATATGGGAATCTTTATTCAGGAAACGTTTCGCCACACAGTGGCTTCTTCAGTCCAATACAAAGAGGAAGGCATAAGGAGAGGAGGAGAGTGAGGTAATCAGTCCCTCAACCTGGAGTCGATGTGTTCAGTCCATCAATCTACAAGATTGATGGACTGAACACATCGACTCCAGGTTGAGGGACTGATTACCTCACTCTCCTCCTCTCCTTATGCCTTCCTCTTTGTATTGGACTGAAGGAGCCACTGTGTGGCGAAACGTTTCCTGAATAAAGATTCCCATATGCTGCATAAGTGTCTCAATCTTCAACTTGTCGGTTTTTCAAACCATTCATCACAAGAGTATAAATGCCAACCAGCACGGATTCACGGAAGGCAAATCTTGTGTCACAAACCTTCTGGAGTTTTATGATAAAATAACAGAAGTAAGACACGAGAGAGAGGGGTGGGTTGATTGCATCTTCTTGGACTGCAAGAAGGCCTTTGACACAGTTCCTCACAAGAGATTAGTGCAGAAGCTAGAGCATCAGGCGCATATAACAGGAAGGGCACTGCAATGGATCAGAGAATACCTGACAGGGAGGCAACAACGAGTCATGGTACGTAATGATGTATCACAGTGGGCACCTGTGACGAGCGGGGTCCCACAGGGGTCGGTCCTAGGACCAGTGCTATTTTTGGTATATGTGAACGACATGATGGAAGGGTTAGACTCAGAAGTGTCCCTGTTTGCAGATGATGTGAAGTTAATGAGGAGAATTAAATCTGATGAAGACCAGGCAGGACTTCAAAGAGACCTGGACAGGCTGGACACCTGGTCCAGCAAATGCTTCTCGAATTTAATCCTGCCAAATGCAAAGTCATGAAGATAGGGGAAGGGCACAGAAGACCACAGACAGTAGTATAAGGCTAGGTGGCCAAAGACTGCAAACCTCATCAAGGAGAAAGATCTTGGGGTGAGTATAACACCGAGCATGTCTCCGGAAGCACACATCAATCAGATAACTGCTGCAGCATATGGCGCCTGGCAACCTGAGAACAGCATTCCGATACCTTAGTAAGGAATCATTCAAGACACTGTACACCGTGTATGTCAGGCCCATACTGGAGTATGAGCACCTGTTTGGAACCCCACTTGAAAAAAAGCACGTCAAAAAACTGAGAAGGTAAAAAGGGTTTGCGACAAGGTTAGTTCCAAGCTAAGGGGAATGTCCTATGAAAAAAATTAAGGAAATGGGCCCTGCGACACGGAGGACGGGAGGGTCAGGGGAGCAAAACGACATATAAAAACTCCGGGGAATAACAAGGTGGACAAAGACAGGATTTTCCAGGGAGGGGACACAGAAAAAAGGCCACAATTGGAAGTTGAAGAACAAAGGGTCAGAGAGTAGTAGGAAGTATTTTTCAGTCATAGAGTTGAAAGGGCAGTGGAAACCTAAAAAATGACGAGTGGAGGCAGGAACCATACACAGTTTTAAGACGGGGTTGATAAAGCTCAGGGAGGGGGGAGAAGGGGCCCAGTGCAAGGGTGAAGAGGCGGACCCAGGGCTAAGACTCGACCCCTAAAACCACAAATAGGTGAGTACAAATAGGGAGTACAGCACAACACACACACACACACACACACACACACACACAACCACACCGCAGCACCACGCACACGTCACACACACACACACACACAACACCCCACACACCACACACACACACACACGCACACAAGGTGTTGGGACACGAGGGTATCATGTATGAAAGGCCCCGGGGACTAGTGATCAGTGGTTCGTCTTCGACTACATAGTTGAGCCCAAGGGGAGAGAGGCAGGAATAGGCTGGGAAAAACCAACTACAAAAGGGGAACACCAGGCATGAGGAACTTCCTTCAAGACATTCAGGGGGAGAGGGAACTGACGGGAAAACCAGTAAAAGAAATGATGGACTTGTACCCAAAC